GATAATGATGACACCAATAATGGATTTGATGCTTCATTAGAATACATACGTAAACTTGTTCATAATGTCTCAAAATCTAGTGGTGTCAATGACTAGCACAACACGAAATACAAAAACGACATGACTAGAAAACACGATTATAAAGACAATGGGCACAAACCAACACGGCAAGACACGAAACGCGAAAAGAAAAACACGGAATGAAACACAGATAGTGAAATACGGAAACACAATAACACGATTTGCCACCCCTATCGAATTCCATGGGCGAAATTCAATATACACAGTGATAAATCAACATAATGCACAATCTCAACATGAAATCGACTCAAACTAATCAAAAGTCTCCACAAAATTCCCCAATTCCTGCAGATATTCTGAAAATCAACGAATCCAAGCAAATTTACCACACAGAAACGCGAAAGGAAGGATGAGCCAAAGGGCAAAATTGAGAAAAGCAGAACGATATAAAATTGAAGGACCTGAAACGGCTGTCTGTTCAGTGGTCGCCGCCGTGTTTCTGCTTCTGGTGCTCGAGGTGGCGGAGCTCCTCCGGCAAGGCGACGAGGTAGGAGAAGGCCATCCCGCCGAAGCAGATGTGATAGAGGGGTTGAACGGAGCTGGTCTCGATGAACCTGGCGTGGTAGCTGTCGAGGCCGCGCTGAATCCCGTTCTTCAGGTAGCGTATGGGGAAAAAGCTTCTCATCGCCATGTTTGTTTTTCTTCACAGTCGCCTGTTTCTCGGTGTTCGTGGATGGTGACGATGAAAAAAAGCTTCTCATCTCCATAATTGATTGATTAACCATTCATTTCGGCCTTAGACTGGGCCTTTATGTGGATGTGGATTAGGGCGACATTCAACGTGACTTCTGGCCCAACCCATAAAATGATTTTGGGCCCAGTATTCCCTAAGTCGGTGCAGCAGCCCATCCAGGTCAGCCCTAGCAAATAACTCATAAATTACAAACGGATCCCTCACTAAAGAAATATTATCAATCCACTCCTCTCTTCTCCCTCTATATAAACCATTCCATACTGCTTATCCCCAAATCTGTAGATCTAAAACAATGGCTACCTCGAATTTCCTATATCGAACCCTAATCAGTTCCACCGCCTCCCCGACCTCCCGCCGCCTCTCAGCCGTCAAAGCGGCGCGCGTCCGTTGCTTCTCCACCCTTCCGAAGAGAAGTACATCGCGGCCGGAGCTCACGCCGTCGGACGTGGAAGCGAGGGTGGTGGAGAGGATTGAGGACTACATCCACAGCATAATTGTCCAGAGATCTAGGCCTGATTGGCTTCCCTTCGTACCCGGAAGCTCGTTCTGGGTCCCGCCGCGTCCTAGCTCGTACGGCGTATCTGACGTCGTGCACAGGCTCGCTAACGCGCCAACGGAGGAGGAGAACCTGTCTACGGTTAGCATGCAGGGGTGGCCTTCCTCAGATTTCTATTTGCCCGATGGTAAGTTTTTCTATACTGATATATGTAGATGTGTGCGTGTGTGTTTGTGTGAATTCGTTCTTTAGTTTTTTTATGCCCTTTGCCCTTGAATTTGAGGGAAAATTGGAATTTAGTTAACGTGGAAATTTAGTTAATGTTCGTACGTGGTTCATGTTTTTGTCACATTGAGGAGATGAATTTCTTGAAGTATGTGGTGTCTGTTCTTATACCTCAATACCATTCTTGATGTGTTCTATATGTGTTAACCATCTGTCAATGATTGTAGAGGCAAATGATGTACTCTTCGGAATGCATTTTTGGGTGTCGTGAAACTCATCTGAATAGGAAGATCTGATGCCTATAGGAATTCGTTATATCAAACATAAATTTTGCACAATACTAATGGATTTGGTTTTTTTTTTTTTGAAATTTTCTTTTACACCATATTAATTTGAGAAAAAGAAAAATGTTGGCTAAATATATATTTTTCCCCATCACTCTGTTTCATGTTGTATTTTTATTTATCTTTTCATTAATTTTAATTGTTTACATATTTGAACCTTAAAAATTGAACCATAATGGAGCCTATGATGACTATTGTAGTTAATCTGAAATGCCAAACTATTGGTTATGTTGAGTGCATTTGAACTAGGACGGACTGAGGCTTCACTCACAAACTATAATTTTTTTAAATTCCCTCCCTTCCCCTCTATACACCCAACCTAAAAGACGTAGATTTGGCACTTTCTTTGTCTTAACATTTGTTCATTTCGTCGATGTGTTGTCTTGGAGCATTTCGTGTGGAGCTCTTGTATTGATCATTATAGAACACACTTCATTGTTGTCTGTACATGGCTGCAACTTTCTGAATGATGAGAACAATCATTTACAGTTATCCCTGTCTGATAACTTATGCTGAATGTTTGTAATCTGACATGGATGTTTACTTGCACTGACCCATGCATGAATGCCTTCCTATCCTGTTCAACATGACATATACATTTTGTTATACCTGCTTCTTTTTGTTTCTCGGTCATTTATCCCTTGCTGAACTTTTTATGGTCTTTTCCCGGTTACCCAGTATGAGTTGCATTTGGCATATAAACATTCTTTCTTGAATAATTGATAATAGTTATCCTCCAACAAGTCTTGCCTTGATATATCAACTCTTTTGACTATAGATGTTTTTCCAAATTTTCAAATCTTATATTTAATTGATTGATGTCTCAAGTCTCCTTGAGTTTTACCCTTGTAATTTAAAAAATAGAGGACAACTCCAGTAATGTTCTTCTTGGGTCAATCGTTGCTCTGGATTTTTTCTTGGTCGAGAATAATAGTATAATGGGTTAGAGTCTTCTTAGAGATGGTTTGTGGATGATGATACAAACATTTCACAGTTATCCCTGTCTGATGCACCCTGTTGAAAAGTTTGTGATCTGACTTGAGCCATAACTCTTTCGAGTTGCTTTTTGTCTTACCTGTTGCTTTATAATTATATGTTTGGGCTCAATTAACCTGGTCTCTTTCTCATGTGCTTCTTTGTATTGTTGCAGAGGAATCACCTCACATTGAGTTCAGGACAGCTGAGTTGTCGTCAGCTGAGGCCGCCCACGATGAAGAAGGATGAAGAATTCAAATGTAAATGACATGTCCTCGTTATGATGTTGTGAAAACTGTTACTGACGTGTGTATCTGCTTTGAGTTGATAGGATCTGTACATAATGGAATTAGCGGTACTACAAGAGTGTATTTTAGCAAACTCTCAAGTATCATAAAGTCCTCATCACGTCATTTGGTTAAACTAGTGCCTCATCGTGATGCTTGGTCGAGTGTTCCATGTTTCCGTTGTTCTACAGGTTTATGGTCTTTTGTTGCATTTTATTCACTAGTCCAATATGGATTATCTTTGTCACTAAAAGATGTTTCTCAAGTCAACATAATAACATACATTTATACGATGGCCAATAGAAATGTCCAGCAATTGTATAGCCTTGTGGTTGGTACCCGATCTTGATCATCAATTTCATGTTTTGGTCATAAATATATGAATAACTATAAGCTTAAATTTTGATAAATTTTATTATTTCATCTTGTATCATGCGTACCTATAACTGTCTTAGTTGTTTGCTGTGCTATAAGCAGAGTTACAAATGTACGATTATCATCATTTTATTTAATTAACACAAATATCGCTCAATGAAGGCTCAAGCTTAAGCTTGAGTTAGAGCGTGTCTGGATATATTTAATTAACACCCAAATATCCCTCAATGAAGGCTCAAGCTTGAGTTAGAGCGTGTTTAGATATAAATATATCCGCTCATACGAATTTTTATATCAATAAGGGTTAATTTTAAAAAAAAAATGGAATAATTAATTGTTAGTGAAATTCTGTTTTTGTATTAAAATAATATTTAAAATAAAAATAAATTTAAGTTAATGATTGATCGATATTATTAATTATATTGATAATATTGTGAGTAATAAGTTGAGTTAAAACTGAGTTAAATTATAAATATAAACTTAAAAAATTCATATCCAAGCACACCCTTAATATCATAGGTTTGTCCCAGTATAGTTTGTTAGAAGAATTGTTGTAATGTCAATGAATGACCCAACCCCTTTTATTATTGCACAAATCAGCAAAATTACAATGGCTCAAATACAACAAAATTACAGTGTATTGTTCACGTGTAGACGTAGAAAATGTTTTCACAATGAAAACTGTATTGACAATGTATATGATGAACTTACTAATATGTATGGGTACAATAATTTATGACGATACAAGTAGTTCGCGGACTTTTCACGAAAACCGAGAAGACAATCAACCAAATCCATGTACCAAAACCTGTAAGGGTAATATTAGATGGTGAAAAGAGGAAGGAAAACTAGATAAGGTGTGCATACTGAACAGATCATTAGTTTTTTTTTTTGGAACAATGATATGTGAAACATGAAAAACATAGGATTTACCTAAAACAATAGAATTTTTTGCTGATCTTAATAGAGGCCAAGCATCCTCAATTCAGTCACATGGCTAGGGTCAAGCTCTGAGGCATCCTTGTTAGCTTCTCGGTCTTCCACCACATACTCCTAGATCAACAAAACGATTCGAAACTCAAATTCAATAAAGAAAATAGATAAATGGAAATCATAGCACAATGTCCACAATCATTCACAAAATTTATATCAGGTGTACCGTGTACCACGGTGATTTAAGTTTCTTAAATGAAAGAACAAATGAGATAAAGACTTCCGAGTCTTTCCCCAATATAATTCCCATTCTTATTAATACTTAGTAATGTGGCTTCCTTTAGGAGAATTCTAAACCTTTGTCAGTTCTTGCTTGCCAAGAACATGGTAGTGGCGTTCATTGATTCTCTGTCCACATATTATAGCAATGAAGAAGCCATAGAGCAAACCCACCAACACAATTGCTAAAACTGCAAATGCATACGAAAATTAAAACAATAGTGGCTCACATGGATGATAGCAAGAAATATCATGAGGAAAAGTTACTAAAATCTAAATTATTGAAAAACAGTGTTCAAAAAATTATGGCAAGAATAATTTTCTTATACTATACTGATGGTAATCTTCAATAAATAGCATGGAAATGGAAATCAACCATTCTGATAGTTTAAAATGACTCTTAAGCTAGAAATAAAATCTTTCATTTACCAGCCATAGTATAAAACCCATATGGGTGTTCTTCGTAGCCAAACATTTCCCGCAGTTCTTCTCCATAAAATTTGTACACCAGCACACCTAGAAAAGCAACAATCTAGGGGAAGTTTCAGTACAACGTTACCAGTAAGACACAGTTAAGCTCTTCAAATCAATAGCATCATTACCTCACTTTATATTGCGAAAGTGAAAATATTAGAGAATGAATTCTACGCTAAAGCTGATATACAATTTTACAGACCATACATATACTATCACAGGATGTTTTAAACATCAAAGCCCGTCTTCTTAGTCCTCCAGCCATATAATATTTATTTTAATTAACTATATCCCAGCAATTAAATTGGTATTTCAAAATACTATTGGAAAATTTACATGCAACTTATCAAATCTCTACAAAGTTGACAGAGTTTTATCTCCGTGACATGTGGAGAATAAAAATAAAAGACACAATTTTAAAGATCCTGATCAGAAATTCAGACTGAGCAGATCAGAGCAAACTAAATATTTAAACAATGCATCTAAGAAAGACAACTCTGACCAAGCTGGAGGGCATATATTTACCTCTTGATTACATCAACATACTGGGACAATAATCACTGAGTAGATGTAATTACCTACTTGAAGTAAATGCTTCAAGAAATCTTTAAGATTAACGAAAACTTAATCAGAACTCAGGTAAAAGAGGATAGCACATATAATGAAAGATATTACAGTTATAATTCTCTATCCGGTTAAAGGAAAATCTGGGGATATTGCAATATTGTTTCCAGTAACCACGGCAAAATGTATAAACATTATAAAATTGTTTCTGATTATGAATATTTTTGCAGAAATCAAATATTTAATACCAGTTGAACAATAACAAAAATGGCAGCATGGTCCCTCGCAACAAGAAATTGAAACTTTAACCTCAACCACCAACGATCAGCCGGGACATTTGCCCGCAAAACAAACTTTTCCCTGCATTCTGTACAGTGAGCAAAAGCAAAGCCCTCCTGAATCGTGGAAAACAGAAAAACACGTAAGAAATTGAAAGGGACAAGTTGTGCAACAAATTGCCAAGATAATAATTTTTTGTTAGCCCACATACTACAATAGGAAATGACATTAATAAAGAACTATTGACCCCATTTTCCATATGAAAGCAAAAACCTCAATATCAGTATCACAATTCAGAACCATAAAGAGACAAACGTAAACAATTAAACATTAGAAAGAACAAAATAATGATGTTACACCTTTGTTGACCTCCAATTATCAAGACATGATCTGTGGACATACTTCTGGGTGCCTTTACAATGGCATGGTGCAATTAAATCCTCTCCTGAATTTAATGATCAGCGAATTAATAGATCAAGAAAACCAATGTGAAATTTAACGGTTACTGGTTAGTATGTCACTCATATCGTCATCTCTATCAGTTTTCCTATGATGGGTATGAGGGTATCTAGGTAATGAAAAATAAATAAATAAATAAATGGCTGCAAAGAGAATAAACCTTCAGTTTCAAGGCATATCCGGCATTGAGGCTGGTCTGAATGTACTAGGCATATATCCTCGTCTATTTCCGGAACAAATGAATCACCAGCAGCACTAGAAGATCTCACACCCACAGTTATTTCATGTAAAGAAGAAGACTCGTCTGATCTCTCAGATGCACTAGCCTGAGACAAAATGGGTTCTGTTTCCGAAGCAATCTCAGTCCGACTATCATGCTGTACCAATTGCATTGCGAATGAAGTTGTGGAAATAACCATCACATTAACAGTTCTCGCGTGTCAACAGAGAGCTTCCTACACTGTCTAGAGTAATAAATAAGCCAAATCATGTACCGAGCAATGTGTGCAATCACTGAAGTATAACTTATAATCTTTTTTCGGGCCATAATTAACATCAGGCCACATCATATTTTGTTACATCAAGAAAGTCAAATGATTCTTCATCACATGAACAACACAAAGCCCACATACAGATTTACATTGAAAATCAGTCTGACAGAAAACTTCACAGCAGAATCTAAACAGAATGCAGGTGAAACTCCCGGCATCGGATCTAAGGTACAAACAAGAAACAAGAAACAATAAACTTTTCTTCAGACAATAAATCAAAATAGAAAGTGTGTCCAATATCGTTCCCTTATTTCCAATATGTCACATAATGATATTTGTGCACCTCAACCGCATAGGCATTGACCTGATGACCTCACACATAGAAGACACGAAAATCAGAAACAAGTAAACCCACAAAAACTGTCAAATCTAGCAATCACACCAGAC